TGAGCCAGGCATTATTTAGGCACTGGGGACACAGTGGTAATCCAGACAAGCAAGGTCCCTGTCCTTGTTTATCTTATATTGTGATTGAGGGACATGATAGGTGGATGTAGTCATTAACCTTTATGTTTCTAAATGATATTAAGGAATTGGGAAAATGATACAATAATCTGGTATACTGTAAGTGAAAAAGTAGGTTGTAGACTATATATACAACATGGTTTTTGTAAAGCATTTATAACATATATATTTACACACCCCAGAAATACAAGGAATATATGTGTGTGATAAATACATAAATATTAGTTTTTACAATTCTGAAATAACACAAGTAAGTATATGTTGTATGAAATACATTGTTTAAAATTATTTTATACATTATTTACGTACAGTTAATAGGCACTATTTTTCCTGCCAAAGTGTCGAAAATATCTGTAGTACTGAACATATATCAAACAGGTTAATAGGAAATAGCCTGCCTTTAAAGTTTATAAAAAAATGTTTTGTTTGTTTCTTCAGTATTTTGTATTTTTTCACTAAAAATCAGTATTGATTCACTCAGTTGGGAGCTAATAAAGTTTATCTCATAAGGCAAAGAATAGAATAGTAAGTAACTAGTTACCAGAGACTAGGAAGGGTAGTGAGGAGGGGAGAATGAAGAGAGAGGTTGGCAATTGGGTGCAGAAATACAGTTAGATAGAATGAATAAGTTCTAGTGTTCGATAGCATAATAGGGTGACAGTAATTATCAGTAACTTATTATATATTTCAAAATAGAAGATTTGGAATGTTCGGCATAAAGAAGTGATAAATGAGGTGATTAATATCCCAGTTACCCTCATTTGATTATTACTACACATTGTATGCATGTATCAAAATCTCACTTGTATCCCATAAATATGTGCAGTGATTATGTATCAATAAATAACCAACCTTAATAAATTTAAAATGATTTGAATTGAGCTTTATTTATTTATTTAATTTTTTTGAGTTGGAGTCTGCCACCCAGGCTGGAGTGCAGTGGCACACTCCCGGCCACCGCAGCCTCCATCTGCTGGGCTCTGGCAATCCTTCTGTCTCAACCTTCCAAGTAGCACTGCTACGCCCAGCTAGTTTTTGATTTATTGTAGAGATGAGGTCTCGCCAAGTTCCCCGGGTGGGTCTCAAACCCATGGGCTCAGGCAATCCACTCGCCTGGGCCTCCTAAAGTGCTGGGATTACAGGCTGAGCCACCAAGCCTGGCCTGAATTGAGCTTCAAACAATGTATTGCTTTTATTTATATAGCTTCTCAGTAAAATTGTATCTGATAATCTTTAAAAAGTAGCTTGTGCTAAACACTTTTGTAAGTTATTACTTTGTTGTAGGAGGTAATAGTACCTCTCATTATTGTTTTTTGTTTGTTTTATTGAGTTGGAGTCTCACTCTGTCACCCAGGCTGGAGTGCAGTGGCACTATCACAGCTAACCGAAGCCTCGACCTCCTGGGTTCAGTCATCTTTCTGCCTTCCGAGGAGCTGGGACTATAGGCACACGCTATCATACATAGCTGATTAAAAATTTTTTTTTGTAGAGATGAGTTCTCACTATGTTTCCCAGGCTTGTCTCAAACTCCTGGGCTCAAGCAGTCCTGCCTCAGACTCCCAAAGTGCTGGTATTACAGGTGTGAGCCACTGCACCAGCCTATTGTAGTTTTTAGAGTAGTGTTTCACCAAGGAACTAAGTGTTCAAAGGAACATTTTCTGAAGTGGATTTTAAAATAGTACTGATACCATTTGCCCCTTGAGATTTGTGGGTTAAGATAGGAAATGCTGGATTTAAGAGTGTAAAGTTATGGCTTTCATGTTTACATTCCCATTCATTTGCTTTTTAGTCATTTAGCCTTCTGTGACTTTTTATCACTACATTATAATATATAGGATAATACTTAATATTGATCCATACTGAACAGATACTTATGTGCCTATGCATTTATGCTATTTCGAGTTCCATATTAGATGCTAAGGGCCAGTTGCAAGCTAAGACATTCATTACCTGATGTGGTGAATGTAGATGAAAATTAGAGAACAATGTAGTGAGTGAGAAGGGGACTGGCATTTGTGCTCATTCATCTATTCATGCACTAAGTCACTCATTAAACATTTATGCAGCATCTGCTTTGTGCCAGGAAGGGTAGAACACAGCTTCTTTCCTCGCAGGCTATGGAAGAGACAACTTTAGAAACAAATAATTACGGTATTGTGATAGCAGAAGCATGAGGAAGGGGGCTTAAAAACACAAAAGGAAATAGTTGATTCTACCTTGTAACGTTGAGGAAGACTTCAGGAGAAGTGATATTTGGCCCTAGTCCTGAAGAGTCCATATAAATTAGGTAAACCAGAGGCAGAAAAGCATTGCAGATAGAAGGAACTCCATATGCGCAGAATGCAGGAAGGCTATTACTAAGCAGTAGCTTTGGCTGGCTTTAGGTGTGTGAAGAAGGCATGTTTGTGAAAACTGAAGCTGGAAAGGTGGCCTTGCCATGCTATGGAGACGGCACTTTGTAGAGCCGGTGATCTATAGCAGCACTGTCCAAAGAACTTTGGTAATGGAAACATTTGCTGTACTGTCAAATATGGTAGTCACTAGCTAGATGTGGCTATTGAGCTTCTGAAAGGTGACCATAGAAATGAAATTTTTCATATTACTTTATTTACAAGTAGTCACATTTGTTTATTAATCATGTTTTTAATTTTATGATGTTTGATATCTTGGAGGCCTTGCTGGCTGTGAAGAGACTGCCCCACCCAGGACTAGATAATTTAATTCCTGGAGCATGCCTTTCATAATGCCTGTAAGCATGCCTTTCATAATGCAAACCAACCAATCCAAAGCCCAAACTCTCAGCCACCTCCTTTCTTAGACATCAAGCCAATATTTCCCCAGCCCTAAGTCACCCAGGTGCAGGCATCAGGCAATGAGGGGCCACCCCATTAACCCAGAGCTCACTGAAATTATGCAAGCTAGCCAATCCTAAACTATTTTGAATATTGACTAGCACATTGACTAGCTATTTCCATACTGAGTAGCACAGATACTCACAGATCATTCTCTCTCAAGAAACAGTTCTGTGTCATCTCTAGAACTTTAATTCATTCGAAGAATTGATATGGAATGTCACCATCTGGGTTATGAGAATGTAACAACCAGCATGACGGGCGGGTCCTTATCCTTACAGAGTTTCATTCTGGAGACTAAATTACATCCCCAGGGATTTCTACCATGTACCATTGTCAAGTTGATTTGGCAAGATATTATTTACAAAAAAGTTGCTACTACATCCTCACCAATCTCCATAATCTCTTAATAAAGGCTACCATTTATGGTGTATCTTCTCTGTGTTAGCCACTCTTAGAAGTGCTATACATTTGTTATATAAATAGGTTTCATATGGATCTCTTTGACATGATGTTGTATAAAAATTAATTTCATTTTGGAAGAGTTGATATTAAGGCTTTCAATAGTTAAACAGTAAGAGCAAGTATCTTTTGAGAGTAGTTTTACGAAGAGAGGAACAGATTTAATTATAGGTCTGTTGGGTTTGATTCATGATGATTGACAACAGGCTTTGGATTTAGACCATTGTGGATTAAACCAGCTTAAGCAACAGTTTACCCACATGTAAAATGGGGATAATAATGATTCCTACCAAATACAGTTGTTAAATCTAGCACAATGTTAAATGAGATAGTACAAGTGTACTCTTAGCATAGACTATTCATTTATGTTTAATATTTATTAGCATGGCACATTATCTCCTGGTTTTCTCTTTTCTCAGCTAAACTATTTCTATATAGTGCCTAGCAAGGTATCAGATAGGCACTTAGTGAAGGAAGTTAAACGTTAACTCTTGAAGAACAGAAAAGATTCTCTATAGAGCCCAGCAAAGGTAGGGCACTAACAGATATCTGATAAATGTGTGTTGAAATGTTTATCTGGTTCCTTGGTATGTTTGTCTTCACAGTCATAAAAACCATTTTATTTCTATTATTTCTATTCTCTGTCCTCTTAAGATAGACTAGGTACTCCAAAAGACTTTTAATGAACCTTATGAAATGAGATGTATCTTAAAATGAGAACATTCAATATATGAAAGTTTCAATTTTTTCTTTAAAATAGAAGCTTTTATCTAACAGTGTTCTTTAGGAACAGTTACCCAAAACTGTAAACTAAAGCATCAAAGACATGTTCTGTCTGAAATTATGAATCAGTGGCAAAAATTTTACAGATATCTGTTATTTGATTTTAGACATGATATTAATGAGAAAAGACTGAAAATGTTTTCTAAACCTTTACAATATATTACACATTGAATTTTGTTTATAATTTATAGAGATCATAATTACTGAAATAAAAGTAGATGAACACAAATAGACTTGATGTGAACAATAAGAGAGGTTATTTGAAATGGGACCTATTGCTGAAAATTTAGGTTTCTAGTTTCATGATCTCAAATTAGCCCATAAATAAAATAAGGCGGGCAAGGCTTGGTGGCTCCGCCTGTAATCTCAGCACTTTGGGAGGCCGAGGTGAGTGGATTGCCTGAGCCCGTGGGTTTGAGACCCGCCCAGGCAACTTGGCGAGACCTTGTCTCTACAATAAAAAAAAAAAATTAACCGGGTGTGGTAGTGGGTGCATGTAGTTCCGGCTACTTGGAAGGCTGAGGTGGGAAGATGGCCTGAGCCCAGCAGGTCGAGGCTGCAGTGGCCAGGAGCGTGCCACTGCACTACAGTCTGGGTGACAGAGTGAGACTCCAACTCAAAAAAACAAATAAAATAAAATAAAATAAGGTGGTCCTAGGTAGAGTTGGCTTGGTTGTGCTATTCAGTCACAGTTTTACAAATATGTTAAAAAGAAATTAATGTGTGAAGTAACAGATAAAAAATAGACTGAAGGATGAAGCTAGACATGATTTTAAGTTCTTTTACAAGGGCTCTGCAGATTCTGACCAATCTGTGCATGTTTAGTTGCAGAATGGCTTCGGTTATTACCTTTCCTTGGGGTACTTGCACTACTTGGCTACCTTACAGTTCGTCCATTCCTCCCGAAGAAAAAACAACAGAAGGATAGCTTGATTAATCTTAAAATACAAAAGGAAAATCCAAAAGTGGTGAATGAAATAAACATTGAAGATTTGTGTCTTACTAAAGCAGCTTATTGTAGGTGTTGGCGTTCTAAGACGGTAAGATATATGTTTACATGTACACTAACATTTTGTGGTGTTAGAATTGTTTTAAGTTCCTAGTTTGGAAGTTCTGTGAGATGAGTGCTTTTTAAATAGTATTCAGTATTCGGAGTCCATATTCCTAAATTAAAGTTTGCATTTCATGATTGATACTACCTGTGTGAGAAAAGAGCAGCAAGGGAGGATGGAAGTCTCAAGCTTTTACAGAGCTCAGCATTTGTCTAGAGTAACATTTTAAATATACCTGTTTTTTGAGAGAGGACATAAGGAGCTAGAATAAATAATGCTCAAATCCGATAACTATCACTTACAGTGTGACTTTGGTTGGACAATGTGTGTGTGTGTGTGTGTGTGTGTGTGTGTGTGTGTGTGTGTGTGTGTGTGTGTCAGAGTCACATTCTGTTGTCTCTTCTGGAGTGCAGTGGCACGATCATGGCTCACCATTGCTTTGACCTCCTGGGCTCAGATGATCCTTCCACCTCAGCATCCCGAATTGCTGGGACTACAGGCACACGCCACCATGCCCAGCTAATTTTTTAGTTTTTTATAGAGACAAGGTTTTGCTATGTTGCCTAGGCTGGTCTCGAATTCCTGGGCTTAAGCCGCCTGCCTCAGCCTCCCAGAGTCCTGAGCCACAGCACTTTGTGAGCACAGGCATAAGCCACTGTGCATGGCCACAAATTACTAACTTTTTGATGTTTGCTCTTTATTGTTTGTTTTTTAAAATCTGGTATCACCCAGCACTTTGTGAGGTGAGGATGAGAAGACTGCCTGAGCTCAGGGGTTTGAGACCAGCCTGAGCAACTTGGCAATACTTCATCTCTACAATAAAAAAAGTAAAAATTAGCCTGGTGGTGCATACCTGTGGTTCCAGCTACTTGAAAGGCTGAGGTGGAAGCATCACTTGAGCCCAGCAGGTTGAGGCTGTGGTTGCTGTGAGCTTGCCACTGCACTCCAGTCTAGGCAACAGAGTGAGACTCCCACTCAAAAAAAAAAAAAATCTGTTATCAATATCACATATTTTTGAGTAGTATATGTGTATGACTCCTTAATAGTATATAAGGCGGTAAATGGTAGCTGTAAGTAGAGATGATTTTTAATGTGGAAAGGAGTAGTTTCGAGTGATGAATACTGTAAGTAGTTGATGAAATCTGTTTTCTTGTACTGCTTTGTACTGGAGGCTTTAAAGTACAATATTGTTCATCGCAGTATCCTTTGTAATAGCAAAATTTTAGAAACTAAGTATCTCAGAATAGGGGAACAATTGGAGTATAATACAAATGAAGAGATAGTAGGAGCCATGATGAGTCATGTTTTTTAAAGAATATGTAATGATAAGATCCTGGTGTACTACAAGTAAGAAAAGCATATTATAGTAGGGTTTCAATTTTTAAAAAATGAATATACACAGTAAATGCAGAGAAAGAAAATGTACCCAAATGTTAATTATTGTTACCTATCTGGATGGATTATAAGTGAATTTTTAAAAAATGTATTTTTGGCCGGGCTCTGTGGCTCAGCCTATAATTCCAGCACTTTGGGAAGCCGAGATGAGTGGATTGCCTGAGCCCACGGGTTCAAGACCCACCCGGGCAACTTGGTGAGACCTTGTCTCTACAATAAATCAAAAAAAATTAGCCAGTGCCTGTAATTCCGACTGGAGTCCAGCAGGTCGAGGCTGCAGTGGCCAGGAGCGTGTCACTGCACTCTAGTCTGGGCTACAGAGTGAGACTCCAACTCAAAAAATAAAAATAAAAAATGTGTTTTTAATTTTTTCTAAAAATTTTGTAGTAGGAAAACAGAATAATTTATTTTGAATTTAAATTCTATTCTCCTAAAACTTAAACAATTAGGAGATGAGCTCAAATTTAGAACTCCACAAAAGACAAGAACGTATTTTGGTTCCCTTTTGAACATAGTTTAGTCACTCATATGGAATCATGAAGTAACTATTTAAGCTGTTAGATTTGTTGTGGTACGGCTAGGTTAAATGTAAAATATATCTATTATTCAGGAAAGCTATCTAATGAGTTTGGTTTTTTAGCAAATAATTTGGTTTCTTTATAAGAGCATTTCACAGATACTTCTACTTAATAATAGTTTAAAAATAACACTTGTAATTCTTTTTTCCTTTTAGTTTCCTGCCTGTGATGGTTCACATAATAAACACAATGAATTGACAGGAGATAACGTGGGTCCACTAATACTGAAGAAGAAAGAAGTATAATAGTAATGAATTAGAGTTGAATTCAATTGTGTAAAATCTTATGACAATATTTTCTCATTCTCTGTGTATAGAAAATTTTGAAATGGTGACCTTAACTACTACTGGCTGAATAATTATTTCTGCCAATTTATGTTCTTGCCAGATTACTGCTTGTAGTTGTTATTTTGTATATTCAAACAGTCACTTCTATAGAAATTAAAATGTCATGCCTCTTATTCTGACTTAAAAGAATTAATGTATCTTCCAGCAATAAAACAACACTTCTGATTTTAATTGAGAAAAACCTAAATTGTGGCAATGGATCCAAAGCTGCTTCTTGGAATATAATATTTTCAACAGAATCTGTATTTTAAGCTTTCCCCTGTACTGTTAAGTATATTATTTTTCATATCTCTTTTGTCTTAATAATTTGAAGTGTTTTTTTTTTCTCCTTTTGGCCTTCCACTTCATTGTGTTTAGATTAAGAAAAATATTATCATCAAGAATTACTTGTGTTTTCATGAGTTTTCACAGAGATAAACTTTTTGCTTTATAGAGATTGCTGTCTAATTAATATGACTATCCCAACTTCAGAAAAGAAGTAAACTGGATATAAAGTTTTCCACTGAGGAACAGTTATTTACATTATAAAGGATTTGTTTACCTTACAAAAGACTTGTGTCTGTTTATTCTGTGCATATCTTGAGCTATTTGACTCAGAGACAGCTGGAGTGGAGTGGCAGGAACTCATGGGCTAAACTTGTGCTCCTGCAATTTGAAAGTCAATTAGAAATAAACATAAAGTATACCTGAATTCATATTAAGATGTTAGTTCAGTGTTCACAATTGTGTGTATATGAATATTTTTCTCTTTTTAACAGTAGAAACCATTAATATGCAGTCATCCCTCATTATATGCTGGGAATTGGTTCCAGGGCTGCCCATGGATACCAAAATCTGCCCATACTCAGGTCCCGCAGTAGATCCTGCAGAGGCCATCTATAGAAGAGTCGGCCCTCCAGGCAGGTACGCAGGTATCAAATCCCACGAACACTGATCTACATGCTTCAGCATACTTGCCCAATTCAAATCTGTGTTATTCAGTGGTCAACTGTACAAAAATGTTTGCAAAATAAACTTACTGGAGAACCTTTAAAATATTTGTAATTTTTTAGCCTAAGAGTCTTTTTAGTTTTATATTACTATTCTCATGTTAATAACTGCTCTTAGCCAGGTGCCATGGCACACTCATGTGATCTCCACTACAGGGAAGACTGAGGCAGGAGGATCCTTGGTGCGGAGTTTGAGGAGAGCCCGGGCAACTCAGTGCCCTGCGTCTGCTGGTCTCTGTAGGAAATCCCTTCTTAAAAAGATATTTAAGACGGCTCGGTGGCTCAGTCTGTAATCCTGCTTCTTTGGGAGGCTGAAGTGAGTGGATTGCCTGAGCCCGCAGGTTCGAGACCCGCCTGGGCAGGCGAGACCTAATCTCTACAATAAATCAAAAAAATCAGCCGGGCGTGGTAGCATGCGCCTGTAGTTCCAGCTACTTGGAAGGCTGAGGCGGAAGGATCACCGGAGTCCAGCAGGTCGAGGCTGCGGTGGCCGGGAGCAGCCACTGCGCTCCAGTCTGGGCGACAGAGTGAGACTCCAACTCAAAAAAAAAAAAGAAAAAGATATTTAATTTCCTTCACTGAATGCCCACCGGATACTTTGCTAGGCACTATGTAAAAATAGCTTAGTTGAGAAGAGAGGTAAATAAATGCTGTCTTTATCTTTTTTTTTTAATTGTAGAGACGAGGTCTTGCCAAGCTGCTTGGGCTGGTCTGGAACCTGTGGGCTCAAGCAGTCCACTCACCTAAAGTGCTAGGATTACAGGCTGAACCACCGAGCCTGGTCAAGACTATCTATTAAAGATACAATTATTTTGGCTCACTATGATTTCTTTTTATATGAAGAAGATACAAGAGGTAGACATACTTAATCCTTCCAGTAATAAAGATAATACTTGTTTAGCACTTATTTGTACCAGACACTCAGTAAGTATGGTACTTGGTTTTTTATTACATGTGATGTCAATAGGTTCTATTATATGATCTTAACTTTCTCATGACCGACAGCATGAGTTTTAGAGTTAGAAATGTAGACTGTGGTTTTTGTGAAGTTGTACAGGGTGTAAGTCTATAATTGTTGCTCTTTCCTCACCTGTCAGTGGGGGACAAATACAGCATTGCTCTTACTTCTTTGGGTATTTTTTCTGAGATCTTTCCTTCAGACTTTCTGAGATCTTTCCTTCAGAAAGAGCCTTCACTGTCAGATTAGTCAATTCTTTTTTTCACAGTTGATGGCAAGACTTTGGGAAAAATCCTCCTTACCGAAAGTTTGGATATTCTGGTCTATGATCATGAAATGTTTTTCTTTTTGTAAAATCATTCACTGCAAGTCACAGCAACATATTTTCATACATATTTTAGTGGTTTTCAGACTTCATAGGAGGTAAATTTACTAAAAATATGGAGACTAAAATGAAATGATCAACTTTTAATTTTGTCAAATGAAGAACATTTTAAAAATTGAAAACAAATTCTCCCATAAAAGGTAATGTTAATACCCAAAAGGTAAGATGGTTATACTCTCAGAATAAAGCCCCTCCATTTTCAGTTGTTAAAATATGCTAAAGAGTTATGCCCACATATTCTCACCTGTGCAAATTTTTTAGAAACCTTGGGTTGGTAGTTAAATGTTATTTTAATAACTCCTTTACATAAGCATTATTATCAGTTACCATTACTTCTTGCAAATTCACAGAATTTTATCACATCCATAGACATCAGGTTGGGTACGGTGGCTCAGCCTGTAATCACAGCACTTTGGGAGGCCAAGGCAGAGGATTGCCTGAGCCCAGGGATTCGAGACCAGCCTGGGCAACTTGGTGAGACCTCCTTTCTACAATAAATCACAAAAACTAGCCGGGTGTGGTGGCATGCGTTGGTAGTTCCAGCTACTTAGAAGGCTGAGGTGGAAGGATCGCCCAAGCCTAGCAGGTCGAGGCAGCAGTGGCCGTGAGCGTACCAGCGCACTCCAGCCTGGGCAAAAAGAGTGAGACTCTAACTCAAAAAAAAAAAAAATAGACATCTAATAACAGTGCATCGGAATTGATACCATGGAATGTTAGCTCTTGAAATACCTCCTTGGTTTCAAGAGCCTTCAAGAAACAGTGCTGTTATTACTATGTCACACGATTGTTTTGAGTGCTGCTTCTGCTTACCTAGGAAACTACTCATGCTTTACTCAGCAAATGAGCACCACCATTACGTAAATATCAGGTATCCAAAAGTGCTAGCAGGTTTGAGGTATTAATGATTCATTCATCTGGGTAATGAAGCAAGTTGTATTATGCAAAGCATATCACAACTCAACTTTGAGTTCACTGCCTCATGATGATTCATTATATTGCTTTTGTATTTTGTAACCTAATTTGTTAATGAGTTATGAGAAGCCAGTTAAGCCAGCTGCTGATCTATATAGTTTTGCTTCCTCATTGTGACTTCATAGTCTTTTACTAGAAACGTGCTATCTGATTCTCTTTCTCTATAAATAGATTTAAAACTCCACTCTTAGCCGGGCTCAGTGGCTCAGCCTGTAATCCCACGCCTTTGGGAGGCTGAGGTGAGTGGATTGCCTGAGCCCCCCGCGGGTTCGAGACTCGCCTGGGCAGCGAGACCTCATCTCTACAATAAATAAAAAAAAAATCAGCCGGGCGTGGTAGTGCCTGTAATTCCGGCTACTTGGAAGGCTGAGGCGGGAGGATCGGCGGAGCCCAGCAGGCGAGGCTACGCTGGCCGGGAGCGGCCACTGCACTCCAGTCTGGGTGACAGAGTAAGACTCCAACTCAAAAACAAAACAAAACAAAAAACTCCACTCTTCACCAAGTTTCTTAAATTAGGGTGGATGTTTTATTTGATATGTACCAGAGAAGTCTAACTAATTGTACTTTACCTATTTAGAATTTATTTTGGCAGCATTACCAGTCTGGAGAAGACCAGGAGAGATGTCACTAATGCTTGTACTTTATTCCGAAGTGAGTGACTCAGGTTACCACTCCATCTTCAAAGTCTGCTTATTCTTTTTTTTTTTTTTAATTTTTAATTACCATGGCAGCTGCCACCCAGTTTACTTATTCATACTTAACACACAATTCTAACATGTTTAGTTATCTGATTTCTACTCCTGAACAAATCACAAATATTGAAAGGGTCCTACAGAGACAGGTAAACAATAAAATGTGATACCAGGGGAAGGAACCAAAAATAATTTTAAAGTGGACATTAAAAGCACAGCAGCTTGAGACAATCCTGCACACCACAGCCTCTGCAGACATCACTATGATCAAGTTATACAAATACAAGGGGGGGTCCCCCAAAAATAGAATTTATTAAAAAATTTTTTTGTTTTAATTGGCCATTTAATTTTTTTAAATTTGATTTTATTTTAAAGTTGTGGGGTAAAAACTGGAATTTATTTATAAAAAGTTGTGTATTCTTGCATGTTTAAACTTCAGTCACCTTCAAATAACTCTCCATTTGATGCAACACTCATTGAGATGCTTTTTCCACTACTCAGAACAGTTTTTGAACACTTTGATTTTGATGCCTTTTAGTACTTCTGCCATTTTTTGGTCTTACCTCTTCCACATCAACAAAACGTTTTTCTCTGAGGACTTTTCTTATCTGGGAAAACAAAAAGAAGTCACTCAGGGAGAGATTGGGTGAATAGGGAAGGTGGACAACAGGGGTCATGCCATTTTTGGTTAGAAACTGCTGAACACTCAGCATGGTGTGGGCAGGTTACTCATGTAAATCAGGGGTCCTCAAACCCTGGGCCATGATGGACCACTATTGGTTTGTGGTGTGTTAGGAACCGGCTGAACAGCAGGAGGTGAGTGGTGGGTGAGCGAGCAAAGCCTCATCTGTATTTATAGCTACTCCGCATCCGTGGTATTATTGCCTGAGCTCCGGCTTCTGTCAGATCAGCAGTGGCATTCAATTCTTGTAGGAGCACGGACCCTATTGTGAACTACACATGCAAGGGATCTAGGTTGCACTTCCTATGAGAATCTAATACCTGGTAATCTGAGATGGAGCTGAGGCAGTGATGCTAGTGCTGAGGAACAGCTGCAAATACAAATTATCATTAGCAGTGAGGTTTGCAGAAAGACCATAATAAATCAACTGCTTGATGTACTTCATTGTATAGCTGCATCTGGTGGCAGGTTTTAAGTCAGAATCAGACACTTATTTTAGTCTGCATGTGGTCCATCCATTATTTATTTCTGTCCGCACTTTTTAAAATATAATTATTTCATTATATGTTACAATGTAACAATAATAGAGTGCACAATAAATGTTATGCACTTGAATAATCCTGAAATCACCCCCTTTTTCCCATCTGTGGAAAAACTGTCTTCCATGAAACTAGTCCCTGATGCTAAAAAGGTTGGGGACCACTGGAGTCACCCACCATGAAATGGGCAAATGTGTTGAAAGAATCTCCAAAAAAAACATACTGAGGCCAAACACAGCCTCTCACAACAACACTAGCTGGTACACTAATGGCCAATAGGTTCCTAGAACATTTACTTAGAAAGGGAAGCCTGTATTATAAGGAGCCCTTCCTCTAAAAAATAATTCCAGGGTTATTTGGTTCCCACCTCATAATGTTTAATGATTGAATCAAGATAGCTAGTTTGTGGTATTTAAGAAGGTAGGATATATGTTGATTTGATACTAATTTCCACTTCAAATAGTTAAAAGCTTAGGGCTTAACATGGTATATTCCAGGTGGAAAATTTATGCAGAAAATATCTTCATTCCTTAATATTTGGAGGCTTTATCAAAGGAAGTTTTTCCATTGAGTCGAAACATTTTTCAAGCTTAATAACTGTAATTTACTACTTGATTTAATTTGTTAAAGTACGAGGAAAACTAAATAAAGCAAGAGTGATTTAAACTTCAACAAATTGTGTTGGCTGGGTTCGGTGGCTCAGCCTATAATCCCAGCACTTTGGGAGGCTGAGGCGAGTGGATTGTCTGAGTCCATGGGTTCAAGACCCACCCGGGCAACTTGGCGATACCTCGTCTCCACAATAAATAAAAAATTAG